CAGGGGCGTGAAGCATCCTCCTCCTCTTTCCTCTCCAGCAAAGACAGAGAAAAAGATGCTCCTTAATTACCGAGACTCTGTTCATGTCAGACACACATGAGGGAAAACAAATCCATCCCTCCAGCATGTTATTTGTCTATCTGTCGTTTAATTTATATATTTATGAAACAAATGTTGGACATGGGAGAAACAAAATGGAAGAATGCCGATGGGTATCATTTAAATTGTGCAAAGCAATATTTCATGTTAACACTGATAATTAATGTTGTGGGAAAACGGAAACTAAAAGAATCGCTTTGTTGTTTAACTAGGCAATTTGTAAAACCGCTTCAGAAGTTTTAGCATATAAAACGGGATCATCAAGAACCTTGACTTTTTTTTGAGTCCCCGCATCTAAAGCTCGACTAAAGTATGAAGCTATGTGGAGATACATCATGCGCTGGCCATCAAGAGTCCTCAGCCAAGAAAAAATGACAGGCACCTTCAGTAAAACCTGAGGGAATTCATTAGCAAGCGCGTAGAACAGCTCCTTCAAAAGCCATTTGTGAGCGTCTCGTGGAATTTGAGCGCCGACTGCTTTGCTTTCAGGAACTAAACGAAGTCTGCATGAAACGAGGCCGTTAAACTTCTGAATAAACAGCTCCGTTCTCAGACAGAAACTCACACTAGTCTAGCGGATGCTGGCAAATTCCTTTAAGCAATATTCATTTGCCACGAGTTCATTTAACAGCCAATGGAGCTTCTAACCAGTCATTTATTACCACAGCTCAATCAACGTGATTGCGGAGTGTGTCCAAATTAATAAGCAAAGACTTGGAATGCGAGGGGCAGCTTGCAATTTGGTGTTTGTTTAGCTATAGCTGCTGAAAGAGGCAATGAATACATCTCATTCCTAGACAAACTCTTGTCTAATGCAATAACACTGCACTCCGTTTTAATCTTAATTTAGGGTCCAAGGGCATTGCTTTATATTCTGACTAAAAGCATTTTGATGATCACTGGCCTCCTTCAATGAAACAACCAATTAGTGTAAGAGTGATCGCTGGATTCAGTGAATCATATCCAGTGGTTTCTCTAGCAATGGATTCCTTCATATATTCAAATGAAATATTCAGAAACATACTTGTTTTAAAGGTACTCGAAGATGCTTTAAAAGAGATAATGCTAATGCAACTATAATCATATAGGATTTTCAAAATAGAACATTTTATTTACTTTTGACTGTAAAGCTATTTTGGTGCTCTGTCGGGTCACCATATGATATGCAAAATCTGGGTAAAATGGGAAAAACCAGATGATAACAACTACTCTAGAAAATATGATCTTTCTAATGTAAAGTTCTGTTTAGTTAGGAATAGATAAACTATTGCAGATACTAATTCTGATTGCAGAGATAAACAATTTCAAAGTTATCTATTACAGACCACAAGACAAAATGCTGCAAAGCAAAAACAGTTGTAAAAAAAAGCATGACTGATAAATAAATGATTACATTTTGCTGAGTGGAAGCTTATTTATAAATAATATGATTTGACATTTCAAAGGGCAAATGATTGCGATGGAATAATTAAAGTATAGAACCGCGTCATTAAATATCAGCTGCACAGGATATTAGCTCATTTATGCAGTATGAAGATAAAGCAGAAAACCCCACACAACTATGAATATAAATCTGGCTGCAAAAAATAAAGAAATCTCAGCCAAATTGTGAGTAAGGAACATGTGAGAATACATTTTCCTAAAATATATACTCAGAACCGAGAGTGGAATATAATAATGCATTATTCAAACATTCAAATTTGATGAGATGTTCTGGCACACAACAGACTTCTGTGGCCGCTTTCGTCTCTAACTAAAACATTACTGCCACCTAGTGTTAAAAAGCGACTAGAGAGGTTCAGTCTGCAAATACATAAGCGTCACATGAGAAATAGTCTGTTTCGTCTATGGACATTAAATTCATTATTAAGGCTCTATATTCATGTGTAACTCAGCAAAATGATTTATCACGTCTCATACACCTCTTTTACATAAGCCATCCAGTGGCGTGCAGTGTTCTGAAATTAGGCAAAACCCTCAGCTGTTTTAATGTGTTGTATAGTGTCAAATAGTGACTAAAGAGGTTAAATGGTGTCCCAGTTACACTTAATGTTGTCCCATTTTTCTGGTTAAAACATTACATAAAAAAATAGAAACCAAATAGACTACAATTCTATTTAGTATTTTTACATTATGTAATTAATGTTCAATTTAAGCATTTTTTTACATCAGTTCCAAAATAATAACTAAAGGCAGTAACAATTTAAACAATATCTTTTCAATTATTTGTGAACGAGCTGTTATTCTTAATAGTTGACTCAACTTATTTTCGGATCATCAAGCTCGGTAAACACCATCATCATGTCATCATGTGTCATCATGTTTTCAGGCCATTTCAAGTTTGATTTTGATGTGACAAAGCGGTGAAAACTAAGTCGCTGAGTTGTTTACTTCTTTAGTACAAAAACAAGAGCCGGGATTTATCGCACGAACCAATCGTATCCAATCACAACCAATCCCAGCCAATAATAACCATTTGCAGAACCATATGCCACAGCAGTCAGAGGACAACAGCGCCAGGACAGCAGTCTCACACCGGTGTTGGGGTGGAGCTTATAGAGTCATTAAGGCTAGGTTCAGTGGTTAAGTGGGGATCGTATTTGTTAAGGTTGAGCTTGTAGTTATAGTGAAGGGTAGGGTTAGTGGTTTGGGCGGGTTACGCGATCGCAGTCAGCACCCTAACTTCAGATCTGACGCTGTTGTCCTCAGACTGCTGTGACGTGATATCTCATCATAGGACGATGGAGGCATTACCTCCTCACGGGACTTCCCCCCATTCGTTCTCAATTACCCCCCACCAAACCCAGCACACACTTTAGGGGGTCTGTTAAAACTCAATGGGCTCAGGAGAGGCAAGAGATACACAGCCTCCCACTGTAACTTTACCCGCTGGTGTCGCTGTTGGACAGTTACTTTAGAAAAACGAGTGATTTATACACTTTCTAATGTCACATTTTGTAATAGTTGCGTTGTTTTATTTTTGTAATATTTTTTTTTTCTTATCAATTTTTTTTTTTTTTTTTTTTGAGGAGGCAATGCCTCCCTTGCCTCCTCGGAGAAAACGCCCCTGAAATCTGCGTATAGCACAATACCAGACTAAACCAATAAGCTATCATATCCCTAAGAATAGAAGCAATAATTTTGGTGAGGCTACAAAAACCTTTGATTTCTTTCTCATACAGCAGCAAGTCAGATATTCTCCCAGACTGACAAAGCCGACAAACACACATCACTCTTTCTGCATTATTCAATTAAGTCCGTCCCTATCTTCACTAACATGCTTTTGATTCACTGCTGCCCCTCACAAAAACACGAGGTGTCAAAGCAGCAGGCTAGCGTACTATTATGCATGTCAGTCTTCAATCTCAGGAAGGTCAACTGTGTTGTTCTTGCGGTGGAGGGGAGGAAGGCAATCACAGTCATATCACATTCTCACCGAGGCGCTTTCTGTGTCTGTAGGGATGGTGTTTATCTCCACCGACTCAAGATAACACCTTTTATTGTGGCAGTGATGTCAAAAGAATGGCATCATTATGACTATAGAATGAAGAGCGACTGTTCATGGTAGAAGTGCATTGTTGTTGATTGATTCTGGTTCTCCGGGGCTTTTAGGACAGATATGATACATGTTGACCTGTAATGTAAAGTTTCATCTGAATAGATCAACCGTTTGCCTGTGATATAGGCCTACCCATGCAGTGTCGTCATATTTTTAGTCTCAACACCCACCGTTTAATCAGATCTGATTAAATCCATTACGATTTCAGTGAAGTGATTAAGGATTTGAACTTTAAAGGGCCGGTTGTGAGCAGACTTAATGATTTTGTCTCTCTGATGGTTACGAGTTTCATGGCATCTTCAATCAGACCTTTAATATCACACTTAACAATTCCCGATAAATATAACACAATATAGTGGCATCATAAATGATGTAGAAACTTAACACACACTTAAATATGTACAAACATCTTTCTATTAGATAACCACATCAAATCAATGCAATAGCAAACAAAAGGACCTTGTCGCAGAACTAACACTTTTGCAAATCATTTTTTAAACCAAAATGATCGCCTGGTGATTTTTCAGTTGATGTATAAAGTCAGTGTGATTGTGCTGATTCTATAAATGCCACATGAAATTATTATACTTTTTTTTAATGTGGGTTAAGTGTTCAAACCCTTTTTGGGGCCAATATTCCTTCTCTTGTAGTCATTGTGTAGTATTTTAATTTTGTAATATAAATTATTATTTTTTATGGAATTTGATAAAATATTTAAAATGTGTAAATATGTGTATATACAGTGTATATATATATATATATATATATATATATATATATATATATTAACAGCAATTAAATATGAAATAAATATTTTTTTAGTATTTTAGCAATTTATGAAATTGTTATTTATTTATAATTGTTATATATTTTTTATTATTTATAAATTATTGAATATTTATATATATATATATATATATATATTTATATATATACACACACATATATAGACACATATACATTTATTCAATAATTTGTAGAGAATTTTTTAAATATTACAAATATACAGCATATTTTACCAGCATCAGAAAGTACTGAACGTACAAACGTACCTTTGTTGTCTTCAAACGGGTCTTCAGAACATGAATGCAGTGTGTGTGTGTGTGTGTGTGTGTGTGTGTGTGTGTGTGTGTAATGTAAGAGCTTTTGTATAAGCTTTTGTGCAACCAAAAACCATTAGTGTTTGTGTAACATTTGCTATGTGGATTACAGCATGCTCAATTAATCTGTCAAAGAGTGGGTCCTTGTGATCATTAAAATTGCGTAAACGAGTGAAACGAAGAGCGAAATAAACAAGAGAAAGAGAGGATGTGGAAACGGCACGAGGCGGAGGGTGACTTACGGTCATTACACTGCGTCCCAGTGTAGGAGGTCATTGAACAGTCACAGGTGTAGTTCTCCCATTGCTGGATGCAGATCCCCATGTTGGCACAGGAGTCTTCTTGGCATGTAGTGCTAGGACCTATGGTAGCAAAGCAGAGCAATGTAATACTGGGGGCAAACGTCCCGTCATGTTGTTAAGGTTCCATGCAGGTGTGTGTGTTACAGTATACATGCAGTTTGGGTTAGTAGAGGTACTCAAAAAACATCCCGAAAGCTGTTGAACAAACGTGGCATTCCATATAAACGACTGGATTTTAGTAGTAACCTAGACATATTCAACATTGCTTGTTACAAAAGAAGATTCAGACATAGGGCCAAGCATGAACTTTCTCACATCTGCACAGGGGAACAAAGGTCAATGACAACATTTAATAGCGAGATGTGTACATAGTCCAGTATGCACTATTGTTACACATGTTAAGAACAATAGTGTGCACACCAGCCACGTGCAGTCAAGTTGAGTGTGTTCCAAACACATCCCGTGTTTTGGCACACTTGGGTTCATTTTGAGGGAATACAGCAAGAACAATAGAGCTCATTACCCAATTTAGAGTAAGAGGGAGAATGCATTCCCACTGAATTAACCGTGTAAACAAGATAATTGCAAATAAACTGGCTTTGAGTGCATTTTTCTTGTGAAATACAACTGCGAAAACAAGAGGTTAACCACAAACATAAAGTTGAGTTTAACAAAAGGGGGAGGCAAAGAAGGCTAAAAGCGCATTTACTGTGCAACGCAAAGTGCAACTTCAGTACTATGTAAAAGTTCAACATAAAATGATTCACCCCAATTTTGGCTATCAAAATGGCAAATGTGATATCGAATTGAAAATCTGAGAGAATAATCACAGTGAGCCTATGTTGTTCAGTCATAATAGCACAAGGTCAAACATATCATTATGTAAACTGTCCTTTAGTTCAGAGAGAATCAGAGTATTTCTGGTTTCAATATTTGTACCGATTTACATGTTTGAGGAGCATTAGATTATACAACTTAGTTCCAGTCCACTAATTTGCCTAAACAAGCAGAGTTTCAAAAGAGCTGGTAAGGGTCATCCATATTATGCAGCACATTGTCATGTTCCCATTACTGTTCAAAAGTTTGGGGTCAGTAAGATTTGTAATTTGTTTAATTAATTCAGCTATTTGATCAAATATACAATACAGTAATATTGTGAAATATTATTACAATATAAAACAAATGTTTTATATATTAAAATGTAATTTTGTTCCTGTATTTTCAGCATCATTACTCCAGTCTTCAGTGTCACACGGTACTTAAGAAATCATTCTAATATGCTGATTTGCTGCTCAAGAATATACATTTCTTGTACAAAAATAAATCGTTACTGACTCCCAACTTTCGAATGGTAGTGTATGTTTTTATACTGAATAAGATACTAAACTCAGGCTTTTTTTAAATGAAAATTGTGCTCAATTATTCTTTTTTTTTTTTTTTACTATTGTTGCTCTGTATGCACTGCATAACAGGAATGACCCAAACAATACTGGAGTAAAAATAAAATAACTTTTGCGTTGGAATAACAGCTGCAACGATATATACACTTAAGCAACCCTTATTTTTTTGATATTGCTTAAATAATAAAGTCAAAATCACATCTGTCCCGAGTTTACATGCTCTGTGGGACACTCTCTGAGTTTAAAGTCTACGGTAGCGTGCCGACTTTTCCAGATGGATTTTCATGCTAATTCTATTAATTATTTTGCTAATCATATTGCTGTTCAGTGCTTCTAAAGACAGGCGAGAAGTAACCCATGGTGAGATATTTAATGGATTCTCCTAAGCCAGATTCCTCTCTCAGCTGAATGTCATTAGTGTAAAAAAAAAGAGAAAAAAAAAAAAGAGAAAGAAACAAGACAAGATACAGCAAAACAGGACGTGGGGACTTAATTATACAGGAGGGCTCATGTTTTATTAATGCAGACTCTCAGTTGCAATCATTACTTTTCTCTTCTCACTTTGCAAGTCTCACAACCTTCAGAGATAAACACAAGGGCATTGACTTTTAGAAAGAAGTGAACCATTTTATACCAAGACATTGTTACAGTGAACCAGCTAGTGTCCGCTTTATGTCTGGGTATTGGGAAGAGTACAAAACAAAACCGGCACAAGACAAACAGCAGCTTGAATGGAATGGAATTGAACCTTATATACCTTGTAGATCTGCTTTGGTGAAACCAACTTTGTAAAGCAAGAAACAGAAAAGCGAAAACAATCAAACAGGTAAGAACGTGGTCGATGGCTTCTGTTAATAAAGCAAAGGCTTTACTAACAGGACATGCTTTACCATTCTTAGGAAGGGTTTGCACTCTTGACTTACCATACCATGGGTTCAAAATAATGTTATTAATAATAATAGTAATGAAACTGATGCGTTGATTTAGCATGGCTGGCTTGAATAAAAGTGATAGTCTTCAGTTGCAAATAAAATTAAATAAAAACTGCAGTATGCTGATGAACGTGTGCCTGACAAATGATCTAATTTACAGTTTAGATATAATCAGCCAACATGCAGAAAAAAAACAGGTTTCCTTTGCATATTCTATTCTAGTCCATTGTTCTGACAGCAAACATGTTAAAAGGACTTTCAGATGCACAAAACGGGGCATGATAATGTGCTAATGCTAATGTGAATCAACAGGAATTGCTAAGATTGTATAAAGCAAGTGGTTAGAGAGGGGACATTTTAATGATGTTGCATTCAGCGAAAACAAAATGTTCCCCTGCAATACTGCAGCGTGTAATCGAGCCCTCGCCTTCCTAAGCACAGGTGCATCATTGCCATCTGCTGGATGAAAAGCTTCATTACAACAGAAAGGAGCATTCATTGCCATATGAACCAGCAAGAATTCTGTTGCCATCGTGGAGCCATTCCATACACGGCTTACAGTTTTACTGTGCACATACAGTACAGAGTGATGTTTCTTTCATGCTGGGCTGTGAACATAAAAACCTACTCACGTTCACTTTTGGATGCTGTGCGGGAGAGATAAACGTAAAACACACACACACACAAAGTTGTTCTATTCATGTATGGAATGAAGAACTGAATTCAAATGGTGTCGGATATGTCTCTGATACAACAGATATGAATTGAAGCAAGTCGGTTACATCAGAAAATCTGAAAATGTGTAGGATTAAATGTTAAATTTGAGCAAATTCTTCGTTTATTTCGGATCACACAATGTACTGTAGGTTCCTAAAGCTTTAACAGTGAAGGTCAGCTATAAGGGTGTAAAGAAATAAAACATTTATGGTTTGCAACACTGATAAATAGGCCTAGTTTGAAATGTTTTGACATTAAACCATTAAATGCGCATTCGTTTAGAGGGAAAAGACATTTTCATATCTGTTAAAGCCTGTGGTGTTTGTAAACTAGATCTTAGTAGATTTTTGTCTTTGGAAAACAGTCCCAGACTTCTGAATCCGATTATCAAGCATGCTGACATTTCACACTCACGCCATGGACTCACGCAACGTAAAGATGATACAACAAAAGACCAAACGATTTAGGTTGATATGATTTTATTCTTTGTTCAACAACATGTAAATGCAACATGTAGCATACTCAACATAAAAGGAGGCTTTTTGTTCATAAGACAACATTGAGATGTGATGGATGATGGAAATGTGACGGACAATTAATTTTGTGATGGATGGACAAGCAAGAAAATGTTTATACACAAAGTTTTACTCAAACAAAACTATAATGAATCAAATAAAGAAAAAGAGAACACTGAGAACAAAAATTGAAAGACTTACAAAAAACAAAAAATAATCAAACCTACGCAATAAATGTACAGAAAACAAAGATATAAGCATGCATTGAAATATGGCAGATATCTCATGTACTTACGAAAATGGATATTAGCAATGAGTTAGTGAAGAAATATTCTTTGTATGTGGATTTCAAGTGATCTGTGTTCTTTTTTGTAACAAGTTTGGCATGTAACATACAATACAACATTTGATGCTGGTTATATGACCATACTATCTTGGACATCGAAAAATGTCAAAATGTCAAATTTGTCTTTCAAAATATTTTTGCAAATTATGATGTTGAAGGATTTTCACGTCTTTATTTTTTTTATTCTGTATAAGATTGCTATAATATGGAATTAAATAAGAAGCATGATATTAGTCAAATGCACAGATACTTTTATTATGCAATTATTTCATACAGTGTGCTAATGTTTATTTCACTCCCATCCAATATAATTATAGAGAGATTTTTTCTTTTACAAATAAACAATTTTTCATATTATATATACACTACTGTTCAAAAGCTTAATGTTTTTAAAAGTTTAGCTTTAATGTTTTTGAACAAAGATTTTTTATGTTCTTATGATAACCAAAGGCTGCATTTATTTGATCAAAGATACAATACAAAAAGTTATATTTTAAATATTATAACGAAAAATAACCATTTTAATATATTTAGTGTGTTTATGTTGTGCTGCTTAATATTTGTGTGGAAACCATCCCATTTTGGGATTCTTTAAAAGTTGAAAAGAAAAGCATTTATTTGAAATAGAAATCTTTCATAACACTAAACATATCTTAACGGTCACTTTTGATCAATTTAATGCATCCCTGTCAAATAAAAATATTAATTTTAAAGCTTTTTTCTTAAACTGTAGTGCATATATATTACTGTACAACACATTTGTCGTCATAATTACATAATATCTACCCATATTCCTGTGTTATTTTGAATGGTTTAAGGTCAAAACACATCAGATCAAATGCAAGAAGTTCACCTTGACTCAAATACTGCAATGTAAATATTCTCTCTGTAAGTATGTTCATAAAAATGTCACTAATTGATACAAACGCAGACTTGGCTGATCCTAGCATGACCAATGTGGCCAATAAGAATATTAATAAGCAAGTGGGCTCAACAGAGAGCTGGCTGGGTGAGAGATGAGACAAGCAGGGTGAGAAAGATGCTGTGATGGCTCAGTGAGGTGGAGGTGGAACTACTGTTTGCATTCATGAGAAAGAACGGGCTCCTCGAGCTAGAGTTGTAAGAGGTTGTACCTTCGCATCCTCGCTCAATCTGACCACTGCGGAACAAGGCGTCGTTTATGAGGTCGGGGAGGCGACCGTTCAGGTCTACAGATGCCAGGCAACCCATAAAGCCGTCCCTGGAGGCCACGAGTTTGGGCAGGCTGTTATACATGTTGGGCCCCAATCCGGCGATGTAGAGGTCACCTGAACAGATACAATAGACCGCGGGGTAAAAGATGTTAATGATTACATCGTGATTGTGTGTGTGAGAATATATGCATTTTAGCTGTTTACATACCTTTAAGGTCCAGATTTTTAGCGCCATTGACGACTTGACTCACTAACTTAGCATCGACTTTGAGCGTGTGGACGTTACTGTTGTCTCTAGTGATGACAACGTTATGCCACTGGTTGTCATGGAGAGCTCGGTCACTGTTGCCCTTGATTACATTGGGCCCGTTGCCGAGATCAAACACATAATGTATGTACCTAAAAGACGGGAAAGTGAAGCTCAGTTTAATGAGAAAGTGGAAATGCCATACCTAAATTCCATTCCAACTGTCTCAGCAGTTTTATAAACAAAAACAACGAACATAATTCTATTATTCTTCACTTCTGTTTTTTATAACAAAGCACACTGTGTATGAAATAGTTTCAGCTTATTTTGGATAAAACTTGGACAGGAACCACAATTTCCTGACAAAGTGCCCGATATACATTTATACCAATATACAGAAACAATTTTTAATTACCGTCTAATTTTTGACTCAATAATAGCTACATCATTACAACAACAAAGACATATGCATTATGAATATTTTACTAATAATGACCATCGTTATTACAATTGTGATTATGTATGCCATTATATTTACCTAAAGCTGCTTTGTGATCTAAAAGATTGCAAATTTATTTTTAGCTTTGTTTTAGGCTTACTTTTATTCAAACAATACATTAAATAAGTTACTTTAACTGTGAATACTAAATGATGTCATTTATCGGTAGAATTAACTAAAGATTAGATTAAGTTAAAGTTAACCAAAGATAGGCAAACTTAAATAACCAAAAATAACCAAGCAGTATGAAAAAAAAAAAAATGTGATTAGGGAAAAATGGTCAAACCAGTTATTGGACTACAGTATATCTAGAAACCAACACAATAAAAATAATAATAATAATATTTATCTGAAATTGTACCTTAAGTTTACCTGTGGCTGTGAATACTGTTTTGGTCCACTAAATGGTGTCATTTATGAGTGGCCTCAATATTAAAGAACTGATAATTGATTAAGGTAAAAAAAAAAAAATTTTAAAGTGTAAATATCGGCAAAAAATATTGGTCAAAACAATTATGTTTAAGTTTATGTCAAGATATCAAAATATATATATATTACCCGTAAAAAGCAGAATATATAGCTTAGCTCACATATTTCTAGTTTACTTGCCGTACTGTACACCTTAGATTTACACTGTACACCTTGGTTTAGTGCCTACAACTCCAGATGACATTGTTTAGGCTAGTTCTTCCTCATACGTGTTCATTGAAGCAGCTTGTTACCTTGTAAACACTTTTACTGGCACGGTAAAAATAACTAAATAAATAAGGTAACTGACTACTTCTTCAACAGGCTTACCCTTTCACCAGCTCTACAGCGATGAAATCGCTTCCATCCCCGCTGTTAAAGAGGATGAATCCGTCCGGAGAGGTTGTCTTGAACTGGAAGAAAAGGTGCATGGATGTGTAAGCCTGCAAGGTCGCTAGACTCAGGTAACTGCTCTTTGACTTGAACGTCACGGGGTCTGCGATGATGGAGCGCATGCCGAAGCGAGCGTTGAGCTCGCAGTAGTCGATATCACCGTTCTTGCACAGGTCGATGTACAGCATGCCATTGAACTTCAGGCTCTGCAGGTGACCGATGAAGCTGGAGGGGATCATGGAGACGAAACGGCGCTCGGTCATCACGCCCGTCTCGATGTTGTGGAACTCTAACCGGGTGTGATCGCCCACCATCTGACCTACAAACCACAGCAGGTTGGAAAGGAAAACAAGAAAAAAAATGCTGCTATACTACACCCTTAAACAATATTACACTGCTGTTCAGGAATTCAAATACAGTGACATACACCAAAACCCTTATTCAAGCACTGAGAGTCACAAACACAAAGAGTGAGTCCTACATCATGTCAGCATAGCAATGAACCTGAACTAAATGTATGTATTGTATTGCTGTGAAACACAAAAGTAGTGTTTGACTGAGAACAACTGAAGAAGCAATGTATACGCTGATGCAGTTTGCCAAACAAACTGGAAGTATGTACTATTTCCCACAATTTATAAAACCCACACAACATGTAGCGGGAGACTAAAACTAGCAACTCTCAAAACCGTTCACATATATATATTTCTTCGGTTTCTTGCAACAAAAAGTGCTTTAAATAATATGCATGACTCATCTATAGTTGCTCACATACAATAACCCATCAAGAATTGTGTTGTCTTTCAGATTGAGGACCAAGGATAGTACCTTCTGCTACGTCATCGTCAACCGTTAGCTTGTAGCTTTTGCCCCTCCGGATCACGCGCACAGTATGCCATTCATTATCATTGAGTTTTTGTCCGGCATACAGTGTCTCTGGTCCTTTGCCTGAGAACGACGGTCATGAAACGTTAATGCCAACCTGAATTGTCTCTGACCAAACCTTTGCTTTCAATGTAGAAAATGTGATAACTGTTTCTGATGCTTTGAATTTGAATCATGTGCCGAATAAGTTAATCAATTTTAGCAATATAGATGATTAAACAAAAAGAGAAAGCAGAGGTTTGGTGCAGATGTGATTGAATATTACACAAAAACATAAGCCTCAACTAAGATGCTATATGCTAATTTTGTGTCCTCTGTTTTTTCCACAATAATCACTTTAAAACATAACCATGAAATAAAATGGCTTTTACTCATAAAAGGTCTTGATATAACACTCAAAGACAACGTTCTCAAAGTTAGTATGATAATGTACAAAATACCCCTCGCTTTATGCATTCATTTATTTCTCTGCTTTATAACAGACAGGCAAATAACATTTCGAAGGTAAAGTGACAATTTAAAGTAATTTTCTTATTTTGGATTAATAGGCAGAGACAACTTATAAGTTGGCAACACTGGCTCAACCAATAGCACACGTTTGGGAAGGGCTATATGCTTGTCCAACCGATAGGAGTGTGTATGGGAAACTTCTTTGAAAAAACATTATTTTTTACAATTCTGTTTGGTAACACCAGTGATGCAGAAATCACATGCTTCACCTTTAGCCAGAATCAGAGTTAATATACAAGAAAGCACTATATTTTTATGATGCAATACTTTTGAGGAGTTAAGTAGTCACAGAGGAGAGCAGCGAGGTGTTTTGGATTCAGCTCAGAGCGTGCTATTAAATCATGCTCCACATCCCTCAAAATCTCTTGGCTCTTGGGAAATTGTGTTATGTACCAGCATGCAGTTATCGGTAGTACCTGAGAAAAAATATGACCCTCCTCCACCCTATTCAACACTGGCATAAACGACTTTCGACAAACATGAAGCTCACAATCTGCCATCACTGACATTGTTCGGACAATTTATCATGTCTATTAGATCATCCCTACATGATACCATGCCAAAAACAATATCTAGTGCACTTTAATCTACTGTACAGTTGCAACACAGATTATTGTTCTTTACATCATTTCAAAAATAATAATAACAGATCAAAACAAGCCCTAGAAACCATTATCATACTTTGAAAGCACAAATGTCTGAGTGATCTCTCAGCTCGCCTTACCAGGGTTGCACCACTAATGCATAAATACAGCAGTATAAAAGACTTTCTGCACAGATTACACTGCCGTATGCAGGTACTGTATAATCTTAGAGTATTTAAAAATGCAGGTCTCGTAACAGGAGCTTAAGAACTAATAGCTCTGATAAGCACATCATTATAATTAGTGGCATTATATTAATCTGAGTGATTGAAAGTGTGAACTGGTGCAGGTAAAGGGATGTGAGACTAATCTAGCATGATGTAAGTATTAGCTACTTGATCAGAATGACTGATGGAGGTGAAGTTGTGGGTTACTGGTTTACTTGGTACATTTCCAAAAGGGCCAGCTCTCAAATACACCACCAGCACTCATCCTTTGGCACAAACACTTTGTATTTAAAGTCACTCCAGTACACTCATTGTAAGGATAGTCGCATGGAATCCAACCTCCAACGTTTGTTTTATCAGACCACTGGAAGGATAGTATTTAGGATAGTCACCTATAAACAGCATATGAAACTGCTCCTGAACAAACAACTATAGTTTTATCAAGATTCGAAAGGCATGCAAGCCATTTATTGACAGTATTCATCATTCATGGACACATATATGCAAATATAAGACAATCGCAATGAAACATTCTTACCTTTTAAAGTGAGAGAATCATAGTTTATAGTTTATCATAGTGGTTTTCTTACAAAAATGATCAAATATTTCTATAACTTATCATCACCTTTTTAGTTTCACATCAGAACACTGTCATAGAGAGAATCCAAGACCTATTTTTGAGTAAAAGCATTGTTTTTGCCAAAACTGTAGAAATGTGATTCTCTACTAATGGCATAATAGTATAAAACAGTGGAAAACATCAACATCAACAAAATATCATAGCTAACTTAAGCGTAGTATTGAACAAAGTCATTTATGTACTTCAATCCTAAGGTTTGCAAGTAATGACTGAACTGAATGCATTTCTTTTAGCATATTTTTTGTTTCAAAAATTGTGTATTAAGCCATATATTAATAAGCTTAAAATTAGTTTGATTAAAAAAAAAAACACCCCAGCAAACATATAAACCAACAAACAGAAATACGACAAAAAGCATATTGCATCATATCATTGGAATAAGCTGAAATTAGATGCCATAATAAAAAGGTAAGATTTTACGTGCTCTGTATGCATTTTTAGGACAAATTGTTGACATGTGGTGACTTCATAATGTGACTTCAAACACTGAATTACAAACTGTAGTTATTGCAACACAATAAAAAAAAATAATTAAACATTTTTCCGCATGCACAATAATATCTCATAATAATGCATGCACTACTTTAAACTGAAATACTGCATTCCTTACTAAAGTCAGAAAAAAAACTAAGTAGTTTAGAAGATTCCATCAACTTTTAACTACAAATTAAGACCTTTCTATAAATTATGCTAATATGGTAGGAAATAGATTTTTTCATGACAGATAAATTATAGGCCATCAAAAACAAGCCATGATTATTAAGTCACCACCATTTAATAATCGTGGTAATCGTGATCGGAGAGATCAGTCAACTGACCCTTTCACTAGATGCAAACTCTCCTTGACTAGATGGAGGAAAAGGCATAAGACTTAAGACATTCATTTCAACAAGAGAATCATTAGGAGCAAAATGAAACTTGAGTGTTAACTTACTGGAGTTACAGTTTATCCTGATACAGTCTAGATGGGGGAAAATAAGTGACAGATGAAATTGCATCCTTCAAGGTTACAGCTGCAGACATCCAAAAACAATAATTCCACCCTTCCGGGGACGTCCACATGCAAGGAGGCGGCCATTTTTTAGTACTAATCAAAAAACATTATAATTGAATGTAAAGACGGCACAAAATCACTGGTTTAGCAGCAACTGTACAAGAATTAGAGATACTGTACATAATCATGTCTATGAATAAAACAACTTCACGATTTAATGATTTTGTTTCACTACTAAATGAATTTTAAGCATTAGGAAACACCGATATATGCCTTATAAGCAATGTTTAGTTTATAAATAAATTATAAAATGGCCGCTTGGAGCTCACCAACCACAAAGGCTATTCAACCCAGAGCTTTATTTTTATTTTATTAAAATTATGCTTTTAATTGAACTATCTAAGGTCCTGCCCAATAGAAATCACACCAGCTCATTAGCTAAATATGCTTTAATAGCTTAAATACATTTAGCAAGAAGTTGGTGTCAGGGCACGTTTCTTGAATATTGATCAATTTAATGGCACTAAAATGGTAAACTAATGATTTCAAGTTTGCCTTTTGATGGCATCATGCACTGGGTTGGGCTCTGTGTGGCTGGATTTACCATGTGTCGTCAACCGCAACAGAAAAGTGGGAGCAAACAGCCTCGATCCAATAAGCACCAGCACCATGCAGTGGCCTCTGTACCTCCAACTAGATCTTCCTGAGATCTGACCACTCAAATGAGGACTAAATATACTACAATCTCTATAAACATATTAGTGTTGGTCTTGTTGTAGTGGTCTGTGTCGTCCTAGCAGTAAATACCCTTGTATTTTGGAAGATAGGGCAGTCCTCAGTGTATTTCTAGTGATATACATAGAGTATGTGTGCAGTTGATGTGTGTTTTACTGCTGACAGGCTGTCAAATCATTCCAGATGATTTCTCTGTGTATGCAGTCATAAAACATTCTTGTCTCTTTCAGTATGTTTACAGTGTGTGGGCTATGTTTGTCTCTACTATGGCTGAGCTGTCACAGATTATCAGTCCTACTGTCAAACCTCAGGCTGTTTCCTGCAGTGAGGTGTGAGTTATGTCACTTCCTTTAATGATGACACAGTGACTTAATGACCAGTTAGGGTCTCTCATCTCCCATCTAACAGTAATAGGTGTCGGGTTGAGGATTGAGAGGTGCTACAGTACCAGCTGCAGGTGAAGCTGAGAGCTCTGTTCTCGGGCTGTTTGCCGACCGGGCCGCAGGCTAAGGGCCTTTGAAGGGGTGAATACCATCTTTTGACAAAGCATGGAGAATGTGTGTCAGAGAATGGGTGAGGGGGGAAGAGGCGATGATGGTTAAAAGGAGGTGATGTAACAGAAAGGAAATACCAACCAAAGCACAAATGTGGTACGAATGGAGCCAACTGAGACGTAACATGAGGATTGTAGTAAAAGAGTTACTGAAGACATTGTCAAGTAGAAAAGATGACAGGAATTAGTGTTAAGTTGACAATCAGAAAGTCACAACACTTGGAAAGGGTTTGCAATCGTAAAAATTAATTACCCATCATTTCAAAAGTTGATATCAAACAAAAATGCTATTCTGTTATGCAGTGCTGTGACTGTCTCAAAGGAGTTTTTATCTTCACTATGACAATGATCATGGTTAATATATTCAAAAGATGCACCAAACATTGTGTCAGTTAGGTCTGGGCAGTATGACGGTACTAGATATACCATGCGACGGTAGAAATCTCGACTTTATAATGCAATAGACACATTCGCGATGGGCAGGAATGCTGTACATTATTTACAGTTGAGAGCAATGGAGAAATTTGTAGTAAAGTGAGAATACAGAGCGGAATATGGCCAAAATTGATTCAAGATGATGGAGAATTAGGATATGTTCACACTTGGCAGGTTTGGTTAGATTGAAAAACGAACTCTGGTGCGATTGCACTGATAGTGCGGTTCATTTAAATAAGTGTAAACGCTGGCATACGAAACCTGGTGCAAACAAGCAAATCAAGACCCTTTGAAAAGGTGGGTCTCGGTCTGCTCGGTCCGCTTCTAAAAGGTTCATCTGAACACAGACCAACGACGCCTAAATGAACCAAAAACAGGATGTAATGTCACAAGATGTCACCCTTAAAAGGACAGAATGCTGAAGCATTCCTGGTTCTTCTCGTCATAGTTGCAATATTGCCCATTACAGTTCAGAACAGTCATCGGAACTGCGTCTTCTTGCAACAGATCTTTGTTTGTCTGTGTAACGGGAGGAATTCCTGGCACTCTTTTGACTCTTTTACACATTTTCTAAGCTCTTTGTGAGTTCTCAGCTGGTAAAAATAGCATCATATGTACGCACATACAGCGAGCACATTTATCCCAGCACACAGCATTATTTTGGATGTTCGGTAAGTTATGTTGCAAAATATACATCATTTCGGTGTGCAAAAGGACAGTGTGGACGCTAAATGAACCAGGACTAAATTTTCAGTCCAGACCAAACGAACCAAGAGAACCGAACTACAAGTGTGAACATACCCTTAGTTGTTTAGTTAGAGATTTAGATGTTTAGTTAGAGAACCGGCCAAATCAAAATAGAATTACTCGCAGTGCATGCATAATGGTTCATCAAATCAGAATTTAACTGAAAATAATATATATATATATATATATATATATATATATATATATATATATATATATACACACATAATTTAAAATATAATACAGATTTCACTTCAATATTTAATGTTTTTAACTTTAATGTTGCATTGTGTGCAGCTAACGTTGGACTTAACCTTCAATTTTATAAATAAACATATCCATTGGTTTGCATTCATCAAGTTCTGAATAAAATGATAAGATAAAGTACTATATTTGAAGGTCTCTCATAAGTAACCCTACTGTGATATATAATAGTATATTACTTGTACAGTGATATAAGGTCATACCGCCCAACCCTCAATATCAATTAATAGCCAAAATTTGAGTTAAATTTACAATCAATTACTTACTATAAAGAAGACTATCAATTCAAACTCAACTTAATCAAATGTCTGGTGAACCATGCAAATAAAGAAAAACAATAAAACAACATCTTAATATATCTTATTAATGAATGTAATGATGATGGATTCAGGGGAGGGTGGGGCTGGAACGATGGAAAGAAAGGAAGAGAGAGAAAAAGAAGAAGCACTGCATCCTGAAGGAGGGGTTTTTATACAATACCTAAGTTGACCGTGAGTTTGACACGACTGCCATCCAGCTCTAGTCGAAGAGTATCGGCGGAGTCGCGTGAAGTGGTGGCCATGAGCAGGCCATACGCCCGCTGAGACATGAAGCGAAGGGACACGTCCTCCGCTTCAGTGTGCATCACGGTAGGCATCACCACTTTCATGAACATGCTCCCATCATAGCTCAAGATAGACGCCTCTGTGGTCAAAAGAACACAAGATCCGTGTTTAGACAAGTTACTGTAAATGTAAGAACACACTTTTCTTCCAGGAGAGAAAACAAACATTGTGAGAGGACAAATACGTTTTTTTGGAGTGACATCTTAGACTCACACAAAAAGACGTGAATGACAATATAATAAAACAATTTTAAAATAATGCATTTTATTGGACTTTCAGGAATTTTGAAATACCAATAGACTGCATGGTCAAGGTGATGGCCATCAAAAAGAAAAGTCATCTTCCTGGGAAAACGCTTGACTAAAACAAAGCATATGGAGTTCTCCTACAGGTTTCGATTAACTGGCTCAACAGGTAAATGAACAGATCTCCCCTGCCATCTGCATTTTTCAGCAAGCTGCCACACAGCCAGCCAGCCAGGCACACCGCCTGGACAGGGCTGATGGACGCAGCGATGCCCTTTCTCTCCAGCCTCAGCCTCTGACTGTCATTCAACGCACCGCTGGCCTGAAAACACTCTATATGAAAGTATTAGAAAAGCCAGCCAAGCATAAAATGTCTGCTTTGACTCTACAGCATGTAGACAGAAATGGCAGCTAGGCTCTGTTGTCTGGGCAGCTTTTTTTTCTGAGATCATTTGTAGAGGTCACATAAAATCTCATTTCAAGTACCTCAGGCTAAATATTTTTGAGAAAACCTGTGCAGCACAAGATGTTTAGTTTTAGTTACAATATTCAATGAAGGTCAAAAGTTGCTCCAGATAAAATTATACAATACTAGTATTCAAAAGTTTAGGGGTTTGTTTTGAAAGAAATTAATGTTTTTATGCAGCAAGGATTTATTAAAACTAGGGCCGGGACTTTAACGCGTTAATTAAGATTAATTAATTACAGACTTTAACGCGTTAATTAATTACACAAAAAAATATTTTTAATCGCACTTATTTTTGCACCGCGGAACGTTTCTCACTGGATGAGTTTCGGCGGACCGATTATACTGGCGCACGAACTAGCGTTCATGACGAAGAAGCTGACGAGAACGCTTTGGTTGGCCGGTGGATGCAAGGGGGTAATCCATCGACCGGAAGTTGAAGCCGGCCGGGTGCCGCCATGTTGTAGTAGAACTTCACTTGCGTTAGCATTTCCATTGACTCCCATTCATTTTGGCGTCACTTTGACAGCGAATAACTTTACATCTGAGGCGTTTAAAGACTCCATTTGTCCATTATTTATTTCTAAAGAAACACGACAATGTATAAAGTGCTCCATTACCTTCTATGTTACATTATGGCCCCGTAGAAACAGTTTTAGTAAAAATAGGCTAACGATTGCGTCATAACCACTCGACTCTCTGTCGCGCTGTACAGAAATTACCGTACAGACAGGAGGAGAAGCTCGCAGGCAATCGGGGGGACGTCCCGTCAAGGGAGAAGCCCATAGATAATGAGTCCATAAAAGCAACGGAATACTTACTCCTGCTCACTCACGCCAAAGAACTCTTTGCTCAAGTTCCCCGTCTCTGCAAGATTAACGTTGGCAATTTTCACGCACAGCTACTAGAAGATTAACGTCTGTCAGACAGGTTGCTCACGTCATCAAGCTTAGTTTGAGTCGGTTTGAGTCTGCGCGTCAGGAACGGAAGTGCTCAGAAATCGCTAAAAATGGGCTTCAACTGTCTCAACTGAGTTCCAATGAGATGGCTCTGTCCACTTCTTATACTGTCTATGGGTGGATGGGACATTTTGTTACAAAAAAACGAACGGATAGAAGCGTCGATAAGAGCATGGTTGTGTGCAAGCTATGCAACAAGGTGTAGCACTTAATGGCAAAAATTGCACTGGTCTGCTGGACTTGGTTGAACAAAAATAAACAATATTTTGTTGCTTAAGCTTATGAATTCAGTCATTATTCAATGGTATACTAAAAATCCATGTGAAAAAAATTACTTCTCACTGTTCTCAGGTCAAATATTTATGCAATTAAAATGCGATTAATTCCGATTAATTAATTACAAAGCCTCTAATTAATTAGATTTTTTTTTTTATCGAGTCCCGGCCCTAATTAAAACTAATCAAAATTGACAGTAAAAACATTTATAGTTACAAAAGATAATTTGCTCTGTAAAGTTTTGTAACCAAGGTTGTTAAAAAACACAGACATGGCAGATTCGGACTGGTTTCAAATAAAGTAGTCCTGTCTCTATAGAGTGGTGCAGGGATGACGTCAGAAACAGAAACAGTTTCAGAAAAGGTTCCCTTGAGATTTTCCTATGGGGTTTTTAAATGTATGTGTAAAAAAAAAGCCTGTGGTAAACATAACTTGATACTTTGACGTTTTGTTCTACAACATGTGTGAAAACGCACATTTTGAAGCAGTTATATTTATCTTTGAAAACATGTTTCTAATAAGTAACTAGATAAGACAGTTTAAGTATGCAGTTTACTTTGTAGAACAAAACATCAAAGTATTGTCAAGTTATGTTTACCACAGGCTTTATTTAGATTTAAAAATAAAAAAAAAAAAAAAAAAATAAAAAAAAATAATAACACCCTATAGGAAAATCTCGAAGGAACCAGCGGCGAACTAGACGTTAGACAGATATCGTGATGTATAATTATAGGATTGTCTAGCAATATATTGATTATCGCAGTATCGTGATATTATCAGTATCGTGAGCCATATATCGTGTCGTATCGTGAGGTACCCTGTGATTCCCACCCCTAGTATTGTTGGGGCATTTTTTCTTTGTACAAAAGTTTAATTTAACAAATATTTACATATACGGTATAATACTCTAAACAACTGATAATCTGTAAAAGGCAATTTCACTGTCTAGGAAAAATCATGGTGCACCAACCAAATACGGCTCAATCAGACACTTACAATAGTTTAGTCTTCGATACATTTCTCAAAAATACATGAAGCAGACTTCATAAAATCAAAGAAAGTAAATACAATGATCACATATTTCAAGAGAAGATCAACGATAAATGCTCATTTAATCCTCAGCCGTGAAAACTCCATCCTGAACACATGCATTCTAAATACTGATGCAGAAACCGCTGACAAACTCTACAATTACACATCGATCAATATGTTATTATGTGCAATTAGTTGCTTTTCAAATCCTCCCTGGGGCTCCCGCCAATTTTCATTTTACACCCGGCATACTAAGCAGAGAGTGGGAGAAAGAAATCGAGGTCGAGCGGCCATCAGTGAAGACAGCGAGAAGGGAAACAGATAAGTGGGACTAACCTCTAGACAGTATCTGATGATTAACTCCGAGTGAAAGCAAATCAAAATGATTTTGTATCAACGTTATTGAGCAGCGGGCTGATGCGGGTGGACAGAAACATGGCGTGGAGGATGTGACAAGAGTGACGGGGGAATGAGCCACCAGAAATCTTCACAGGGTGGCGGTGTTTCTCAACAAGGGGCCGATGTTACACAACAGCGTCCGGCAGCCATCTTGAGAGACTCACTTATGAGATTTATTTTACTACTGTTTCCTCTCAAAGCATTTCATAAATGCGTCTCAGGGCACGTGAGGGAACTCCTTCACTGTAAAGCTTTTTCTTTTCTTTATAATTAATACAGTTCTTATGGCTGCATAAAAATGCTGTGCACACTCTACATTTTGGTATATTAATCAAGGAGATCTTTTGTTTTCCTATGTAAATAATGAACACAGAACTTATTTAATCACATGCCCGAATGAAACACGGTTCATGAAAGTCAAATGAGCTGCAAAAAGCATTACTCATGGGAGAGGCTAATTCAATAAATAAAGGGCTTTAACTGACATTCCATCTCACTAATTGATGAATGAATAGATGGAATGTTTAATCAGAATTGTTTTGTTTTTTCTCTCTGTGCTGCTTCTGAACTTTTGGATATGCATTATTGTTCACAAACAGATATTGAATGCATCTGACTATTTGTGCACGTTCAAGGAGATTTGCAAATGTGTAGTTTTGGGGTCAGATTTCAAGCAGTGTCCCAAAGTGTGACATGCTAAGCTCCATTAAAATGATTTTTAAACAACATTTTTGTAATTGTTTTATGTTTATTATGTTTATTAATAAATCACACACACACACACACTATATATATATATATATATATATATATACACTCACCTAAAGGATTATTAGGAACACCATACTAATACTCGCCTTCAGAACTGCCTTAATTCTACGTGGCATTGATTCAACAAGGTGCTGAAAGCATTCTTTAGAAATGTTGGCCCATATTGATAGGATAGCATCTTGCAGTTGATGGAGATTTGTGGGATGCACATCCAGGGCACGAAGCTCCCGTTCCACCACATCCCAAAGATGCTCTATTGGGTTGAGATCTGGTGACTGTGGGGGCCATTTTAGTACAGTGAACTCATTGTCATGTTCAAGAAACCAATTTGAAATGATTCGAGCTTTGTGACATGGTGCATTATCCTGCTGGAAGTAGCCATCAGAGGATGGGTACATGGTGGCCATAAAGGGATGGACATGGTCAGAAACAATGCTCAGGTAGGCCATGGCATTTAAACGATGCCCAATTGGCAATAAGGGGCCTAAAGTGTGCCAAGAAAACATCCCCCACACCATTACACCACCACCACCAGCCTGCACAGTGGTAACAAGACATGATGGATCCATGTTCTCATTCTGTTTACGCCAAATTCTGACTCTACCATCTGAATGTCTCAACAGAAATCGAGACTCATCAGACCAGGCAACATTTTTCCAGTCTTCAACCGTCCAATTTTGGTGAGCTCTTGCAAATTGTAGCCTCTTTTTCCTATTTGTAGTGGAGATGAGTGGTACCCGGTGGGGTCTTCTGCTGTTGTAGCCCATCCGCCTCAAGGTTGTGCGTGTTGTGGCTTCACAAATGCTTTGCTGCATACCTCGGTTGTAACGAGTGGTTATTTCAGTCAAAGTTGCTCTTCTATCAGCTTGAATCAGTCGGCCCATTCTCCTCTGACCTCTAGCATCAACAAGGCATATTCGCCCACAGGACT